TCGGATGGACGGAGGCAGGCTCGCACTGTTATTCCATACCACAGGGCCCTGATTATTTTCTTCACCAAACACCTTATGAAAGGGACTACTCCAAGAGCTGTGAAATCCTTGCTATTTCCCATTATTCTAATCATAGCTTTATTGTTTCGCCAGCCTATGTCGGCCCCTCTCACCAGAGCATTAAGCTCCAGATCCAAATCCGTCTGATTGTCACTCTCTCAAGTAGCACAGACCTGGCATAGAGTAGACAATAAACATTTGTGGATTTGATGCATAAAATGCCAGCTCGAAATCTTATTTTCATTCTATTTAAAATTAGGGACATGAATGAGGCAATCATCTCAAAGGAGGACCAACCTTATTAGTGAACAGAATTATTAGCCTTTACCAGATAAAATAAATCAAAGTTTTTTTCCCCCGAACCTCAGAAAACAAGGACACGGACTCAGTCTCTAGCCTCCAGCAAGCAGGCAACCTCCCTTGTGAACCTGGGTAAGAAATCTCTGCCATGCACACTCTCGCCTTTTCTCCATGTCCCTATTATACAGAGGGGGTGACCATATCATTTATTGTCCAGACTGGACCCTTATGGGAGATCAAGGTGAGAAACCAAATATACAAATGAACAACAGCCTGACCCTATATAGAAGCAGAGCTGTGACTTACACTCTGCAGCATCCGTCCCAGGAAGAAAGCCTGCTATCTAGAAGTCATCAGGCTCATAGAACGTCAGACCGTTACTGCAGCAAACGATCCGGGAGGCCAACAATAAATCCTGTAACAACTGGCCCCAGATGGCCAGGACTCCATTAATAACTGACAGCTTCCCTGGTTTTTGTCCCCACTTCCCACTTCGGGACCAGCCGGAGAAAGCAAAATGCACTGCCCTGACTATTTACATAGGATGCCCTGCTTCTAGTTAGCCATACTGCAGCTTCCCCAGGCCAACAGCCTCCAGCTGGGGACCCCCCCCCCCGGAAGCCGCCCCTGTTCCAGCCACAAAGCTTGGCCGCTCCTCTGTCTGCCTTTGAGCCTCTGCCACAACGTGGTGGAGGCGGCCGCCTTGCTGTTGTGAGCTCTGGACAGTCTTTGCCTGTTCTCATTTGGATGATTTTCATTTATTTCCACAAATTACTGCACTGTTAATAAATATGCTGCATCAAGAGGCAAAAATCGGGACTGAGTCAGGACTAGATCACCCAAATTATAAAGCACCATCCACCAAGAGGCTGTTAGTGAGCTAAAGTCTGGGAGGGCGAATGTGTGAAGAACAGACGGTGGAATGTACTGCTACCGCTAGGTGGGGTTTTGCATCATTACAGACCAGAGGACATTTCCATCATTGCAGGAAGCTCTTGACCTACATGTGCCCTCAGGGTACTTAGTCAGTCATCTTTTTGGTTTGGATGTATGGTATACTGGAATTGTTGGAAATTTGTCTTCAGGGCAGTAATTTCTAAAAGTAATTCCAGCAGAATGTGTTCAAACATACCATTATTGATACCCAGTATTAACTTACTTTTAATTATTGCCTGCAGCCCCTGAGGCAGTAAAGAGGTTAAAAACATAGGGCTCGCCCTTGAGAAGCTGGCATTCTGGAAAGTATTTCAGGTTGGTATGGGTTACATAATTTGCAAATTTTGCCCAGTGCAAAATTAAAATAAGGGGCCACTTGTTCAAAAAGTATTAAGGATTTCAAGGTGGAAACACTATGTGGCAAGAAAAGAAAAAGAAAGAAATCCTTTTGATTCAGAACAATGAGGAATACTATATTTATTAAAAGTAATACCTTTCTTTGACAGCTATTCAAAAATTTTTCAAAAAGAACAAGTTTAAGATTCTACAGGGTGTTAAATTTTTTTCCTTTTAAAGATTTCATTTATTTATTTGACAGAGAGAGACACAGCGAGAGAGGGAACACAAGCGGGGGTAGTGGGAGAGGGAGAAGCAGGCTTCCCACCTAGCAGGGAGCCCGATGTGGGGCTCGATCCCAGGACCCTGGGATCACGACCTGAACCGAAGGCAGTCGCTTAACGACTGAGCCACCAAGGTGCCCCAGGGGGTTAAATTTCTTAATAAAATTAAGAGTTGGCAAGAATATGGTCAATAAAAATAATAGTGAAGAGGATGCATTTCATACCACACATTTAAAATGTTCAGTGCTTTTTTTTTTTAAGATTTTATTTATTTATTTGACACAGAGAGACACACTGAGAGAGGGAACACAAGCAGGGGGAGTGGGAGAGGGAAAAGGAGGCTTCCCGCCGAGCAGGGAAGCCCGATGAGGGGCTGGATCCCAGGATCCTGGGATCATGATCTGAGCCGAAGGCAGACGCTTAACGACTGAGCCACCCAGGTGCCCCTGTTCAGTGCTTTTCATGGTGAAACACTTGTGCATACTATTAAGCAAAATATTTTTAAAATTTTTTTAAAAAGATTTTATTTATTTGAGAGAGAGCACGAGAGGGGGAGGGTCAGAGGGAGAAGCAGGCTTCCCGCCGAGCAGGGAGCCCGACATGGGACTGGATCTGGAACTCCAGGATCATGACCTGAGCCGAAGGCAGTTGCCCAACCAACTGAACCACCCAGACGCCCCAAGCAAAATATGTTTTAAAAAAATACATTTGTAACCCATAATACAGATAAACCATAGGGAGAAGCAAGGACTGGTTTGTATGGGTGCTGTATACTTCCTTCTCCTTGGGGTTCATAAGTGAGGCCCCTTTTCTGGCCCTCTCAACGCACTCCCATTTGTCACGAGAGATTCTTAGAGTGGCCACATGGCTTTGATGATTTCAGGGCAAAGACACTGATGATCCCCATTAGCCTAAACTTAGAAAAAAAAAAGAAAGAAAAAGAATGTCAAGGTGGCAACAGCAGACCATTAAACCAAGTGTGGGGATCTTCTAAGCACTAAGGCCTTTGTGAAGGGACAGGTCACACACCCATGACACCAACCCTAAATGTAGATAGTGTTCCGTGACAAATTACAGAGTAACAAAGTATGCTGTTTCATATATATTGTGATGCTGCTGGGCCTGTCAGCCCCTTTTTATTCCATGCGGTACATTTGGCATGCTCACAATTAAATTACATTTAAGCAGTTATTAGACATTGACTCTATTTGTGCTAATTACTATAGGAAATCTTTGCTAAAGTTTAATATAATCAAGTACATAAATACTTAATCTAATAAAAAAAAGATGGTATAAAAAGGTACAATTGTAATTCTTTTGCTCTTCCCAAGATTCAGGACAGGGCAGGGTCTGAAACAGGTAAGCACTCAATAAACCTGTGTTGAATATTCAGTGGGTGGAGATTTTAACAAAGGGAAATACCGGGAAAGGCCAAACCCGAGATGGCTAGCTAGGATTCTAGAGAAGTCAGACTGGCCAGGAAAGGCATCGGAGACAAGAGGAAATGTCAGTGAAATCCAAGCGCTATGTTTAAGTATTACCTTCTGGTAGAGCCAGACGCCTCCTCGAAGCAGGAATCTTGTTTCTTCCCCGCTGAACCAGTGTCTGCGACATAGCAGCCCTTCAGGACTGACCCAATAAATGCAGTGAAGAAGTAGGAGATGAAGCTGGAGCCAAGTCAACCAAAGTTTTGAATATCAGAGTGAGAATCTATATTAAGTGTACGGATAAGAACCATTGAAAAGAGCAGTGATGTGATCTGAACTCTGAGGGAAAAACAAGCCTGTGGTATCCTTGATGTGGTTTTGGGATATAGGTGAGCTCTGGCGAGGTGAGGTCCGGAGCCAACGGCCAAGAATGAGACTTCTTAGGTGTAAAAAGGTGATTTTATTAAAGCCCGGGGACAGGACCCATGGGCAGAAAGAGCTGCTGCCCCAGGGTTGTGACGGGTGACCGATTATATACTTGGGAGTTGGGGGAGGTAAGTAAGAAAAAGGGAGGTTTCAAAAGGATTTTTGTATGTTAAAGACTCACAGGATACCCGAGGCCTTGCCATTGTCAAGTTAAGGTTGTTTTTTCCTCTGGCGAGGCATTAACAAGAAGACAGTCGAGAGTTTCCTGGAGGAATGTCACACTTGTCCCACCCTGGGAGGGGGGGGGGGGGGGGAGGAGTTTGCAGGGTGTCGGCTTGAGCTTTGTGCTCAGCCAGCCTTCTGCTCCCTCATCATCCTGAGTTATGTGCTAACATCTCACAGCTTCTAAATCCACCTTCTCCGCCCCTCCAACCTTAATAAACACCGTTGTCATAAGCCAAATAAAACCTCAAACGGGAATCTTGAAAACCGCGAGGAACCAAGCACGTACACAGAAACGGAAGCCGGCAGCTCTGGGCGTGTGTTAACGTTAACTATCCCTTTGTGCCTTCTCAACTGCATAATAAAACCTCACTTGCAAATACGGACGTTTACCAAAATCCTGGGCAGCTTCTAGGTCTAGCTGTAGTCCTGCCCTGGACCTGCTCGACAAACCGCGGCGGAAAATGGGCGGAAAATCGCGCAAGATGACCAGCTTTCCCAACGCGGCGGACGCCGGGGTCACCTGCGCGCACCTGCCGGCCCAGCCCGGCGCCCAGGTGGGGCCTCCCTGCCCAGCTGGGTGGCGCCGAGTTTCTCCCCGACTTCATCGTCCCAGGCGTCTCTAGGTTGGGGGTTCGTTAAGATTCGGACGAGACTCGTGTTGCACGGTGCAGGGTGTGGGTGGAGCCCGACCCAGGAACCCAGCCGGAGCGGCGACCCCGGGAAGGTCTTCGCAGCCGGCCAGCGCCCGCACGCGTGTCTGCACAGCGAGAACAATAAAGTTGAGCGTGTTCAAAAGGGGTCCTTGTCATCCGGGGCCCGCTGGACAAGCCTGCAAAGTAAGACTCCCAGAAAGTCCTGGGAGTCTGGTGCTGGCAGATGTCGTTGTTCTCGGGGGCGTTTTCCACACTCGCGGTGGGACAGCGCCGGGGGACGGCGCGGATCGCGGGCGGGCGGGCGCAGGCGGGGCGGCCGGCCCGGCGATCGCCGCGGGCAGCCCTGCGAGGACCCCGGCCCCCCTGGAGCCTGCGGCCAGGCTGCGGCCGCCCTGACGCGCGCGATGAAGCCCAGACCGGCGGGGTTCGTGGACAACAGGCTGAAGCAGCGAGTCGTGCAGGTAAATATTGTGCGCGGCCCTTTCTCGGCGGCTCCCAAGCCAGCGTGGACCAGCCGCCCGCCGCGGCCCGGGTCCTGGGCGGTGCGCGGGCCGCCCCTCTGCCGTGGCGGGGCTGCCCGGAGCCGGGGTCCAGGCAGGTGCGGCCCCGGAGGAGCCGGGACAGGGGCGAGTGCAGCCTGAGAAGAGCCGGGGTCCGGGGGGGGTGCGGCCCCGGAGGAGCGGGGAGGGGGGGCGGGTGCTTGGCCTGGATCTGACATCGTAATAGGCTTTTTGCCCGAGGGTTTTTCATTTTTATACCCGTCTGTTGAAAGCGGTGTGTGGTAAATGTCTTGCAGTGGCACAGTCTGCAAGCAGTCTTAGGAGGAGGAAGAGATTTCTCCTCGCTGCTTCTGGGAGCTATATTTTCTCTTTTTCTTTTACTTTGCCAGTGCTGTAGTCTCCTTTTTGGATGGGTCTTTTCCTGCCAAACCTCTAAGGAAGTGTTGGAAGTGTCCCGAACTCCCGTGCTGTTCCTCTATCCTCATACTCCTCTCACCTGCCTCCTAGGTGGTCTCGTCCAGTGTAAAACCTTTAAACAGTCTATATGCTACCTGCACAGTCACTAAAGTTACTATAAATATAAAATTCAGTATATGTGACTATATAAACATGAATTCAATGAAAATATATATTGACTTTATTTTTTATTTTTTTAAGATTTTATTTATTTGAGAAAGAGAGCATGAGTTGGGGGGGGCAGAGGGAGAGGGACAAGCAGAGTCTCTGCTGAGCAGGACCCTGGGATCATGACCCGAGCCAAAGGCAGACACTTAACCCACTGAGCAGACACTTAACCATCTGAGCCACTCAGGTGTCCCTATATATTCACGTTAAATACCATCTGTATATTCCAAGCCTCACGTGTCCATTGTGGATTTCATCTTGAATGTCCGGCTGCCTACTGGACATTTCCTCTTGAGTATCTGATGGGTATCTCCCACAACACGTCCATACTGAATATTTTTTTTTAAAGATTTTATTTATTTTGAGAGAGAGAATGAGAGAGAGCACATGAGAGGGGGGAGGGTCAGAGGGAGAAGCAGACTCCCCGCTGCGCAGGGAGCCCGGTGCGGGACTCGATCCTGGGACTCCAGGATCATGACCTGAGCCAAAGGCAGTCGCTTAACCAACTGAGCCACCCAGGCGTCCCCATACTGAATATTTTGATACTCCTACAAACCTGTCCTTTCTCGGGGTTCTCTGTTTCATTAAATGACACTACCATCCATCCAGTTGTCAGAGCCAAAAACCTTAACAATCATTACTACTCCTTTGTTTTGCTTTCTGTAAGCAATTAATCAGCAATTTATCTGGCTTTACCGTCAAAATATACTCCAAACCCAGCCACTCCTTTCTGACTGTGCCTCCATCATAGCCCAAACCACTTTGATCTCTCTGCTTCTACTTCTACCTAAGGTCTGTTCTTCCCAGGGCAACCAGGGAGGTTATTTTATTTTTACTTATTTATTTTTTTTAAGATTTATTTATTTATTTATTCATGAGAGACAGAGAGAGGGAGAAAGGCAGAGGGAGAAGCAGGCTCCCAAGGAGCAGGGAGCCCGATGCGGGCCTGATCCCAGGAGTCCGGGATCATGACCTGAGCCGGAGGCAGACGCTTGTCAACCATCTGAGCCACCCAGGCGCCCTCAGGGAGGTTCTTTTAAAGGGAGCTTGGCAGGGCCCTGCTCAGAAAACCCCTTTGGTGGAGTCCCAGAATATCTAGAGAAAAACCCATCATAAAGAGACCGACATAGTCTGGCCCCTGTCTACTTTTTCGTCCTGTTTCCTTCCTTTTTTTTTTTTTTTTTTTAAGAGTTTATTTATTTGAAAGTGAGAGAGAGAGAATAAGCAGGGGAAGGGGCAGAAGGAGAGACAGCAGCCTCCCCACTGAGCAGGGAGCCCGACGCAGGGACTCAATCCCAGGACCCTGAGATCATGACCTGAGCTGAAGGCAGACCCTTAACCAACTGAGCCACCCAGGCGCCCCTCCTGTTTCCTTCTGCTGTCCCCCTTGCTTTCACCACACTGACCTCAGGCAGGCCAAGCACAGGACCTTCGCTCCCCAGCCCACAGCTGGCTCTGGATATTCCCACCACTAGCTCCTTTACTTCATTCAACAGGTGCTTCAGTAGTGATTCCTAAGGGCTGAATCCAGTGGCCCTTTGCAGCTCCTCACCATTTGACATTATCTGTTTTTCTCTATTGCTTTTGCTTTGGCTCATTATGAAAATGATAATAGAAGGGACAGAAGGGCATAAAAGAAAAGAAAGCATTCCTTCATCTTCATTTCTGTAGGGGTAACCACGCCGAGTTCCTATTTTACCTTAAAATTTTGTATGCGTGTACGCACTTAGATATATATATATACACACAAACAGGCTCATCTGCATCTATTCTACTTGTTTTTTTCACTTATTGGTATATTTTAGGGCTTTTCCCACAAGTAGTACATTTGTCTACTTTTAACTAGCATATCATTTATTGCTGCGTAACAGACCACCCCCAAATGTAGCAGATTAAAGTGGTTATATTTCTGCTGCCATCAAGGAACTGTTTGACTTGTAGCGGATATGAGATGTATACAAATATGTCTAATTCAGAATTAACTGTAGTAAATGACAGCATGCTCTAGGAATCCAGAGAAGGGGAAGATTCGCTAGAACAGTTTGCTTTGGATACCTGGTCTCTTGGCACTGGGGCATTTATGCCGAGACCATTATCCTGCATTAGGGACTCTTGAGAAGAAACTGCTGTCTGAAGTCAGGCATGCCTTGACTGGATGACCAGCAAGCCTTCAACCATGGAAGTTGGTAGACGTTCTGGGTTTGAAATCTGGCCCTATAATTTACGTGCTGCCAAGTAAGTAAGTAGCCTTTTAAAGTCTCTTGAGAGGTGGGGAAACCGACATCCCTCGTGGAACTGTGCATGCTGCTAGAAGAACGTGTCAGAGGCCCTGCACCAGGTGCATGGAGCCCTCAGTTTCTCGAGAGTGTTTCATGGTGCCTCCAGGCCAAGGAGTACCTACTGGGTCTGTTTATTAAGTAGTTAGGTTTAAGCTGCTTCCTGATTATTTAATCCAAATAACTTAGTAGCTTTTTGAAAAAATGATATATAAAAATTGAAGGAAAATTAATATAGTTGGTTTCATTTTTTTTTTTTTTTTTAGACAGAGAGAGAGAGTGAGCAGGGGGAGCAAGAGAGGGAGAAGCAGGCTCCCCGCTGAGCAGGGAGCCCGACGCGGGGCTTGATCCCAGGACCCTGGGATCGTGACCTGAGCTGAAGGCAGACGCTTAACCAACTGAGCCACCTAGGCGCCCCAGTTGGTTTCATTCTTAAATAATCACACGTACGAATGGGGTTTGTGTGCCCGTTGTGTCAGATTAACCCTGACCCTCTCATTTCCTGTTCCATATTAAATTTTTCAAGGGATTTACTTAATGGTAACTGCTGAAAACCCAGTTTTGCAAAGATCTGACATCATCAAGAGGTGATTTAATATGGATTGGATGGATTTAATATGGAACCATGAATTGTCTCAGGCTAGAAGTTCCTGCAGTGATGGACAGGTGGCAAATATTATATTGCTCCCTCCGATGTAAATAGCCCTTGATGCCCTTGTGAGCTTAGTGCTTTGTTCTGGCGTATTTGGGAATTTAGGATATAATAAGCCCTCACTTACTACCTTATAGCTACTCTAGTTATTGTTACTGTGCTGTCATAGTGATTGGTAATGTTAATTAAATTCTCTGATTCCAGGCTTGATAATTATGTAGTGATTTTTTTATGTTTCTGATATACTTAATAATGTTTACATTAAAGTATAACATGTTTGAATAGCTCAGTCTCTGATTAAAATCACTGAGTGTTGAATGTTTGTCATGTTTTCTGTTTTAGTACCTCACCAGCAACAAATGTGGCAAATACGTGGACATTGGAGTCTTAGCATCTGATTTACAAAGAATGTACAGGTAAAGAGATGTAATCTCTAGATTCTTGCCTTTATTTTTAGTCTCCATCCTGCCCAGATTTCCAATGGATATTAATTGCTGCTGACATTCATTCACTAGTGCATAAGTTTAGAATTCAGTTTACTGAAGACTTATCAATTACCTGTTATATGCAAGGCGTTGTCCTTGTTACTAAGGGGAATGGCTGCTTCCCTTTCAGTACCTTACAGTCTGATCAGGAGTATGGCCTCTTTTCCTGTCTCATTAAAGAATTAAAACCATCAGGCATGATCTCCCTGAGCTTCCTGGCTACCTCGAAATGTCTCCAGGCTTCCCCCTACAGATTTAGTTTTTCTCTTGTGCTCTAACACCACCTTTCCTAATACCTCAATCCATGAATTATCACCACTTTGTGTATATCAGAGTCTCTGTTTTTTTCTTCGTATACTAGTTTGCTAGGACTGCCATAAAAAAGTACCAGAGGCGGGGGAGCTTAAACAACAGAAGTGTAAGGCTTCCCAGTTGTGGAGGCAGGAAGTCAGCAATTGATCAAGGCACTGGCAGGGTTGGTTTCTCCTGAGGTCTCTCCTTGGCTTGCGGGTGGCTCTCTTCTCCCTGTGTCCTCACGTGGTCTTTCCTCCATGCGTCTGTCTGTATCCTAATCTCTTATTCGTATTTTTTTTAAGATTTTATTTTTTTTATTTTATTTATTTATTTATTTTTTAAGATTTTATTTATTCATTTGCGAGAGAGACAGAGAGAGCACAAGCAGGGGGAGAGGCAGAGGGAGAGGGAGAAGCAGACTCCCTGCTGAGCAGGGAGCCCGATGCGGGACTCGATCCCAGGACTCTGGGATCATGACCTGAGCCGAGGGCAGACGCTTAACCGTCTGAGCCACCCAGGCGCCCTAAGATTTTATTTTTAAGTAATCTCTGCACCCAGTGTGGGGCTCAAATCCACAACCCTGAAATGAGTCGCGTGCTCCACCAACTGAGCCACCCAGGCGCCCCTCTTACTCTTAGAGAAACACCAGTTGTATTGGATTACTTTGCTTCAGTGCTCTGTCCTGTGGGCCCACTAGGATCGCCACCTGCCCTTTGGATCTGAGGAGGAGACAGTGCCACTCCCTGGACCTGGGCCCCCTGCACCCAAGGTGGTGGCAGCAGCCCTCCCATCTCACTCATCCCTTTCCTTGAAGGGTCATGCCTATCCACAGCTGATGGCCCACCTGTAGAATCCCAGAACTCCAGCAGCATTCCTTCACTTCCTCCTTCCTGTCTCTTCTAGTACAAGCTGCCGGTGTTTCTGATGCTGTAACCCCATCTCTAATCAAGAAGAATTTACGGGGTCCCTGGGTGGCTCAGTTGTTAAGCGTCTGCCTTTGGCTCAGGTCATGATCTCAGGTCCTGGGATTGAGCCCCGCATCAGGCTCCCTGCTCTGCGGGGAGTCTGCTTCTTCTCCCTCTTCCCCTTCCTCCCTGCTCATGCTCTCTCACTCTCGCTTCTCTTTCTCAAATAAATAAATAAAATCTTTAAAAAAATTTACAGTACTGAAAATGTAAACTCAGAAGTTGCTTGCAAATAAGTTTATGGTCAGGGTGAATACAGTGACATACTTATGTACTCGTGCAAATTAATGTGATGAATTTAGATTGAGTTTAATGGTAAAATGTTGGTGGAGACCACTGTACTAAGATTCTTGTTATGTTTTTCAGTGTAGACTATGGTCGAAGAAAAAGAAATGCTTTTAGGATTCAGGTAGAAAAAGGTGAGTCTTTTAGTGTTAGAGCTGAATTATTCATGAAGTTAAAGAGTTGTTTTAGCTCATGACATTTTTCTTTTTGTTTCAGTATTTAACATAATCAGTAGTGAGAGAGAACTTAAGGATCTAACAGATTTAGAAGATGAACATCTGGCAAAAAGAGCAAGACAAGGTGAAGAGGATAATGAGTAAGGATTACAGAAAAGGGGGTGTTTTTCTTTTTTTTTTTTAAGATTTTATATATTTATTTGACAGAGACACAGCGAGAGAGGGAACACAAGCAGGGGGAGTGGGAGAGGGAGAAGCAGGCTTCCCACGGAGCAGGGAGCCTGATGCGGGGCTCGATCCCAGGACCCTGGGATCATGACCTGAGCCGAAGGCAGACGTTTAACGACTGAGCCACCCAGGTGCCCCAAGGGGGTGTTTTTCTTAACCATGGACGAAATCACATTACATTCCTATTTGTAAAATTTTCAGTGGCTCTTCATCACCATCAGGCCGCATGTAATACTTACCTAACGTCTCCAGACCTTTGCTTCGGGCCTACTGAATGCTCACAGTTGCCTAAAGAGGACACATTCTTGTGCCTTTGTATGAGTGGCTCTCTGTAGCCAGTGTTAATTTCCCCACCATGACCTCCCACCCAGCCTTCAAGAGGCCACGTCAGTGCCTTTGTTGGGCTTTCTTTTTTTTAAAGATTTTATTTATTTATTTGACAGAGACACAGCAAGAGAGGGAACACAAGCAGGGGGAGTGGGAGAGGGAGAAGCAGGCTTCCCACCGAGCAGGGAGCCCGATGCGGGGCTCGATCCCAGGACCCTGGGATCATGACCTGAGCCGAAGGCAGATGCTTAACAACTGAGCCACCAGGCGCCCCTGTTGGACTTTTCTTAGATGCCTTTCTGCATGTTTCCTTAACCCCTGGTTACAGATGTTATGATGCTTGTCATATGGTGTTGAGATTGTTACATGTGTGTATCTGCAAAAGACCCGTCTTGTTATCTTTGTTTTTCTCTGACCTGATACAGTGCCCGGTATGTAAAAAAAAGTATCATCAACCAGTTTTGTCTTTTAAGAAATAATATTGAGGGTTTTTATCATGAATGGGTATTACATTTGTCAAATGCTTCTTATGCACTTAATGAAAGATTTCATTGTGGTTTTCTCCCTTTGTTCTATTAATTTGGTGAATTACATTGATTTTTTGAGTGTTAAGCCAGTCTTGCATCCTGGAATACACCCTGCTTGGTCCTGATGTATTATCTTATCCTTCTTAGATATTGTAAAATCCTGTTTCCTATTTTTTTTGGTACATGGTTATGTCCGTATTCATATTGATCTGAATTTTTTTCTTTTTTGCAGGATCTTCTTCAGGTTTTGGTATTAGGGTTATACTGGCTTCATAATAATTAGTTCGTAAATGGTTTTTTGTCTGTATTTGACGAAAAAGTTAGTGTAATGTTACCGTTACTTCTTTCTTTCTTTTTTTATTTATTTTTTATTTTTTATTTTTTTTAAAGATTTTATTTATTTAATTGACAGAGAGAGAGGGAATACAAGCAGGGGGAGTGGGAGAGGGAGAAGCAGGCTTCCCGCCGAGCAGGGAGAAGCAGGCATCCCGCCGAGCAGGGAGCCTGATGCAGGGCTCCATCCCAGGACCCTGGGATCATGACCTGAGCCGAAGGCAGACGCTTAACCATCTGAGCCATCCAGGCGCCCCCGTTACTTCTTTTTTAAATAGTTTGCTAGAATTCACCTAGAATTCATCTTGGCTCAGAGGCTTCTTTTTGGAGAGGATTTGGATAACCGTCAATTTTGCTAGATCTAGGGCTCTTCCTATTTTCTTTTTCTTCTTTTATTGGTATTGTTAAATTGTACTTTTAAAGGAACGTGTCCATTTCAGCTAAGGTGTGGAATTCGTTGGCATAAAGTTTTCAAGATATCCTCTCATTTTCCTTTTAATGTCTATAGGATCTGTGTTGGTAGCTCCTTTTCACTTTGCTGCCTTTTCATTTGGATTTACCATCATTTTCTTAACTAGTTGTGTATTCGTGAACATTTGGTTGTTTCCAGTTTTGCTCTATCGTATGTGCAATAAATAATCCTTTAGCACACATGTATGTTTATATACATTTCTTTGTTTTTTTAATGTTAAATTCCTGAAGTGGTGCTTTTGGGGTTAAAGGACTATTTTTGAGATTTCTGGTACATTTGGAGTTGTCCTCCAAACAAAGTTGCCTGGGTTCATACTCCCAGCAGCTTTGTATAAAGAGTTCATTTCTCTGCACCCTTGAGGTCCTAGTAAGTACTATTCTTTAATCTTTGCCAGTTTCATGGGCAAAAATTGATTTTTTTTAAAGATTTTTATTTAGTTATTGAGAGAGAGAGAGAATGATAGAATATGAGAGGGAGGAGGGTCAGAGGGAGACGCAGACTCCCTGCTGAGTAGGGAGCCCGATGCGGGACTCAATCCTGGGATTCCAGGATCATGACTTGAGCCCAAGGCAGTCGCTTAACCAACTGAGCCACCCAGGCACCCCTTAATATGTTTTTATTTGTAGTTTTTTGGTAACTAGTGAGTTTAAATATTTGACTGTTTCATGTTTCCTCAGTTAGTTGCTTGCTTATGGGTTTTGTCTTTTCTTTGAGAGGTATTTGAATTATCCATATTAGTTGTCAGATTCCTTTGTATAAAATAGCATCTCCTTTTATATGTATTATAGACTGTTCCATTTTGCCATTTGCCTTTTAGTTTTGTTTAAAGTGTCTTGTTTTTTTGAGAGAGAGAGACACAGCGAGAGAGGGGACACAAGCAGGGGGAGTGGCAGAGGGAGAAGCAGGCTTCCCGCTGAGCAGGGAGCCGGAAGCGGGGCTCAATCCCAGGACCCTGGGATCATGACCTGAGCTGAAGGCAGATGCTTAACGACTGAGCCACCCAGGCACCCCTTAAAGTGTCTTTTGATTAGAGAAGTTCTGCATTTGTACCTAGTCAGATCTGTCAGTCTTTTCCTTTATGATTGATGTGGATGTGCTCAGAAAGACCTATCACCGGAGTATATGGGATAATTGCCTATACTTTTTCTTTGTTTGTTTATAGCATTACCTTTAACTCTTTAATCCATTTGTAATTAACTTTGTAGGGTGTGACTCAGAGGGCAGAATGGGTTTTTCCCCAAATAATTGAATAATCTACCTTCTTCACATTGATTAGAAATGCCCAAACTGGGGTGCCTGGGTGGCTCAAACGGTTAAGCGCCTGCTTTCAGCTTAGGTCATGATCCCAGGGTCCTGGGATTCGAGCCCTGCATTGGGCTCCCTGCTCAGCGGAGCACCTGCTCCCTCTACCTCTGCCTGTTGTTCTGCTTACTTGTGCTCTCTCTCTATTTCTGTTAAATAAATAAATAAAAATCTTAAAAAAAAATGCCCAAACATATTAATGGAATTTAATGAATAACAAAAGAATTCATGTCTTAATTATAAAGGTGGGTCATAACATTCATATAAACCTTTTTACTTAGGAAGAGTCCTTTTCTTATTTAATTATTTTCTAAAGACATTTTATTAAATAGTAGCAGGGTCCTATAGTTACTTGAAGCTATTCAGTATCAACTGTGAGTTATGCTGAACTGAGACTGCATTCTCAGTTTGTAGTTATTAGGATTTATGCCTGTTCCTCGCTGTATGATATGAAAACCTCTTTGTACCTTCATTTCTCATGGACAGACTTGGGAAAACTGTACCTGGTCACGTGGCTGGGTCATGTGGAATTTGTCAATTTGTTACACGGTTTCTTAATTATGGCCTGCTGGAATATATCCTTTTTTGGGGCATCTGATATTCCTAATGAGACCCTTGGATCTGATAGGAATTTGCATTTCACTTTTATTTATTGCTAGCATTAAGATAAACACAGTTTATTAATCATTTATTATGTACTCTAAGGACTTGGTGAGCTTCTCTTGAATCCTCTAATAACCCAGTAAGGTGGACATTATTTATTCTTACTCTTTATAGATAGGGAAGCTGATCCTCACAGAGATTAAGTAGAAGCTAGAAACCAGCAGTGTTGTATTTTGAATCCAGATTTCTCTTAACTCCAGAGCCTGGACCTTTAACCACCATAATATTTTGCCTTAGTATATTTTTTGTTTAGGATAGTAATTTTTTAGGATGTGGGAGAAAAGTCTTTAAAATGTTTCTTTCCCTCTTCTTACTGAGGTTTACTGAAAGCTATTCAGATGATGATTCAAATATGGAAGACTACCCAGATACACAGGTAAGCCAGACATTTAATGGACCAACTTTGATTTTTTTTTTTAATTATTATGAACCCTCCTTAAAAAAATCAATGTGGAATAGAATCAGAGACTTTGAACATCTCCATCAATAAGTAATTAAATACTTCCTGTGTATAGTGTTGAAGAAATCTCCGGATGGCTATCTTTTCAGTATTTGTGTTTATAGCCTATTTCATAGGGAAAAAAGGGAAGAGAGTGGCCAGAAATAAGGGCACATGGGAAGAGAAAGGGGAATTAACAATAAAAATTGAGAAAAGGATACATTTTCTACCAAAGGGCTGGCATTGCCAAGAAGTAGGTTTCAATTAAAGGGAAATGTAGAAATAATATACTAGATGATTTTTCTTTTAAGATTTTATTTATTTGAGAGAGAGAGGATGAGAGAGCACTAGAGGGGGGAGGGTCAGAGGGAGAAGCAGACTCCCCACTGAGCAGGGAGCCCGATGTGGGACTCGATCCCGGGACTCCAGGATCATGACCTGAGCTGAGCCCAAGGCAGTCGCTTAACCAACTGAGCCACCCAGGCGCCCCTGCTAGATGATTTGTAACTTACTCTATTTTTTCCCCAATGGTGTAATTCAGTTTTTTTAATTTATTAACAAAGTCAGGATGATAACGAGTTATTCTGATCCAGTATTGACTTGATGGGCTAGTAGTGACTCTCCTTGACAACCAGCTCATTTTTATACCTGTTCTGTTGTACTTTGTAAAAGCGAGCTTACTTACTTGGTTTTATTTAACTTCCATGTATGAATTGGTGCATTAACTTAAGGTGAAGGGGGGACATTGTTTATGAACAGTAAATGTTTGATGAAGCGTCTTATTGTGGACCCCGGTGTTTTCCGGCTGAAATGCTGTGAGAGAAACTGTGGGAAGTGCCAATGTACTGGTAACCAGCTTTCCACAAGGACCTGTGAGGAATTCATGCTGACGTCGTGTTTCTGCCAGGCAGCAAATCACATGAACAGCTCCCTGCTCTCCTTATATCGGAAAGGACATCCTGAATCCGTTTCAAGTACTCCTGAGATGGAGCCCAGAGAAACCACTGGCTCGACCCCGTGGACACCTTCCGGAACAGGCTCCATCCCCTTGAAGACCCCGGCCAGAGGTTCTGAGGGAGGGTGGTTTATCGACAGGACTGGTGGAAAGATGGACGTGACAGATGAGAAGAGTAATCACAAGAAGCCAGGATCTGAGATAGAGGTATTTTTGTTGTAGAATTTAGCCCTAAGTAGTTGGAGCACATTACCCCCTTTTCCTGAATGTAGCATCAGCAGACTCTTGTGTTTCATGAAGGGCGTGGGGATTTGGAAGCACACAGAGAACATGGGCAGGTCCTGTTACTGCCACCGTTACTATCCAAGTCCAAGCCTTAACTACTGAAGTAATCTCCCCTCACTTTATTCTCCACACACAGATGTCGTTTTTTGGTTGGTTGGTTGGTTTTTTAAGATTTGATTTATTAGAGAGAGGGAGAGCACAGAGGGAGAGGGAGAAGCAGACTCCCCCCTGAGCAGGGAGTCTGATGCGGGACTGGATCCCAGGCCCCCGGGGTCATGACCTGAACCAAAGGCAGATGCTTCACAGATTGAACCACCCAGGCGCCCCATAGATGTTGTTTTTACAAGTCAGATTGTTCTCATTCATGTATTAGAAATGGCTTTGTTCAGTCTAATATCAAAGCCGTGTGCACGCAGCTGCCCTGCTGTCTCCTCAGTCATCTCCTCAGCTGCCATGGCCTTGATTTGTTTCTCGAACATGCCACGCACGCTCACCTGGGCCTGTGCACTTGTGCTTCTGTCTGGAACTGTCCCCAGATTCCTGTGACTCACATCTCGTTTCCCTGGAATCTTGGCAGCGTCCTTTCCTGATGTGTGAAATACCACGTCATTGGATACCATTTGCTTCATCTCCTTTTTGTCAGGCAGTTAGGATCACTTAGAACTTGCTGTGTAATTGTTTATTTGGGTTTTTTTCTTTGACTTTCTCCACTAGAACGTCAGCTTCAGGGAACCAGGACCTTTGGTTTGTTTAATAATGTCTCCCTGGCTAATATGCAGCTAACAGGGGGCATCTGGGTGGCTCAGTCGGTTGAAAGTCTGAATCTTGACTTTGGCTTGGGTCATGATCTCAGGGTCCTGGGATCGAGCCCAGCATAGGGCTCTGCACTGGGTGTGGAGCCTGCTTGAGATTCTCTCCCTCTACCCCCACTCGTGCATGCATGTGTGTGCTTTCTCTCTTTCTCTAAGATAAGTAAAATCTTAAAAATAATAAAATGTCTCTGACATGTAGTTGTCAGTTTGTTGAATTAGTGCCTGATGAGCCTTCCAAGGTGCACTTACCAGTGCAAGTTTAAGAACAGGTACCTTGGGTATGTGTTACAGAAGGTTGGTCATTGTTGGAGGAAGGGAAGTTAGCGCTGAACCAGCATATGGCTCATTTTGGGCTTAGGGTAATGCTTTGAGGGGGCCTGCACAAATGAGTACACCACAAAAGTGTACAGAATTAGTAGACACCCTTTTTTTTAACCTAAGTTGAACTGTACCATACATAAAAGTAAAGCTGGATGAATTACCACAAAGTGAACACACTGGCCACCAACCTTTAGTTTTTAACGCCCGACAGAATGAGAGGATTCACAGTAATCTGTCCCACGATAGTCCCTGAGGACGCCCCTGGGGCTCACAGTCCAGTGTGGTAAGTGCTAGCCATGTGTGGCTCTTGAACATTAAAAATGTGGTTAGTGTAAATGAGGGACTGAATTTTTTTATTTTTATTTTTCCAAAGATTTTATCCATTTATTAGAGAGAGCACAAGCAGCGGGGCAGAGGGAGAGGGAGAAGCAGGCTCCCCGCTGAGCAGGTATCCCAACGTGGGACTCAGTCCTAGGACCTTGGGATCATGACCTGCACCGAAGGCAGACGCTTAACCGACTGAGCCACCCAGGTGCCCCGGGACTGAATCTTTAATTTAAATTTATAAAATAATGGTCAGTTCAGTTATTATAAAACTTCTGAGTATGTTTGGAACAACTTGGATATGTAAATCTACTCTTTCAGCTGTAAATTTTATGAAAACTAGATACAAGTTAAGTATTTCCCATTAAAATTTAGTGTCTGAGGGGCCCCTGGGTGGCTCAGTCGTTAAGCATCTGCCTTCGGCTCAGGTCGCAATCCCAGAGTCCTGGGATTGAGTCCTCTGTCCGGCTCCCTGCTCAGCGGGTGGTCTGCTTCTCCCTCTGCCACTCCCCCCGCTGCTCCCCCTGCTGCTTGTGTGCACTCTCTGACAAAAAAATAAATAAAATCTTAAAAAAAAAAAATTTAGTGTCTGAGTTGAGATGTGCTATAGACATAAAGTACATAAAGTATGTGGTCTTTGAAGACTTGCTATTAAAAAGCAATATAAGACCTCTCAATTTTTTATACTGATTATATGTTGAAATGATAATGTTCTGAATATGTTTGGTTAAATACTAACTTAATTTCACTGGTTGCTTTTTCCCTTTTTTAAATGTGGTGGCTAGTAGAACATATTTAAAATGATGTAGGTGGCATTGTGTTTCTCTTGGACAACGCCAGTGTAAGTGGTTTCCAAGAACCAAGACTTGACTTGGCAAAACCTTTCTCTTTTTGAATTATTAATGGGCCTTTTCCAAATCTCTACATTAATAATCTGTTTTTATTTTTTATTTTTCTTAAAGATTTTACTTACTTTTTAACAGAGAGAGACACAGCGAGAGAGGGAACACAAGCAGGGGGAGTGGGAGAGGGAGAGGCAGGCTCCCCGCCAAGCAGGGAGGCCGTTGTGGTACTCGTTCCCAGGACCCTGGGATCATGACCTGAGCCGAAGGCAGACGTTTAACAACTGAGCCACCCAGGCGCCCTAATCATCTGTTTTTAGAGAACGTTATTGCAAAGGCTAAGGAAACAGCTTGACTCTTAACGTTGAATCATACTTTTTTATGGCTTTCAAAGCAGCTCCGTGGTCCTGTTTAATTTAGTGATTCATCAGACATCACATGAAGACCCACTGGTGAAAGGCTTAGTGAGAAGTAGAAGATGAACATTAGTGTTTCATCTCCAGAAGCTCACAGTTCCGTGAAAGACACAGAAGTGCTCACATACAAGGTGGATCGTGGCAGGCTATCATGCACTTGCAAATTCAGTGTTCTGGGAGTATGAGTAAGAGGTTAATTCTAACTGGAAGAGTCTAGAAAGGAAGTTTTCACTTGCGGGATAGAAACTGAGCTTTCAGCTCCGGAAAAGAAGGCTGATCCACAGCAGAGACCACGCCTGAGCACGGAGGTTGGGCATAGGTGCCAGTGCCCGGCTGGGAATGCTTTATTTTTAGTCATGCCTGTGTTGAAGAAAACATCACTGGTATTATGATATCAAGCAAGGCATGTTGAAATTTCTTTTCTTTCCAGGATCCCAAAGATGCTTCTGTTCTGGAGTGTAGTGAAAAAAGGAAAGTCAGGCTGAAGAGCAAAGGAAGCAAAAGCAAGAAAGACCTTCAGGAAGCAGATGGAGAAATAGAAGCTGTCCTGCAGCGGAAAGGTGAGCCACGAGTCCTGGGGGCCGGGGGGTGGGGGTGGGATGGGCTTCGGGAGCGGTGTCCTCAGTTCCAGCCCTTGTGCTTGGGGTACCTACCGTGTGCAGCAATGTCTATAAGAAAAGCCTTCGGTGACCCATAGACCTCGGTTTACACATTATTCAATAGGACTCTGAATTACTACTGAATCACTAAATGTTTCCATCTCCTGTTTTGTGTACCAGCTAAAGCCAAGGGGCTAGAGTTACAAGTCTCCAAGGTGAAGTTTGAAGATGTTGGAGGCAATGATACGACGTTAAAGGTTAGTTTGAGTGCAGAATTTACTTGGATAAGCTTATTGCCGCTTCGTTTCCGGTAGGAACTGGGGGTGGAAAGGAGCCTGGGTGAGGGGAGAAGGGCAACCCTGGCTTGTACCTTCAGGGTGCTGAGGGGTAAAGGAAGAGTACCACCTTCCACTTTTCCACCACTGGAATTACGGTGTGTGGAAGATGGGTGCTTTGTGGATGATACTGCTTTAGCAGAAGTGAGTGATGGTTACTGTTTACTTAGCGTCTGCTCTGTTCCAGTTAACCACGCGTCACGTCTGCAAGGCTGTGAGGTAGATGTTATGACAGCTGGGAGAGGGGGCGCGGAGAGGTTCCTGCCGGAGTCCGTTAGGCACCAGACCTGGGCTTCAGACCAGGCTTCAAACTTGCCAAAAGATTAGACTGTTTCCTTCCACGCGGATTCTTTCTCCTCTTGGGCCGAGAAAGACTTCTTTCCTGTCCGGTCCCTCCAGGAGGTGTGCAAGATGCTCATCCACATGCGTCACCCCGAGGTGTACCACCACCTGGGTGCCACCCCGCCGCGCGGAGTCCTCCTTCACGGGCCGCCAGGCTGCGGGAAGACATTGCTGGCACACGCTGTTGCCGGGGTGAGGTTTGCCCGCGTGCCTTTGCTTCGGTTGCTTTTGTTCCATGTGTCCTTGTTCCTCTTCAGTCAGCTTGAACCAGACGTGGCATGTTCTCCGGAGGACTGGCCCCTCTGCATTTCTGCCCATCCTGCTGCCATTCGTGAGATGCTGTTTGCTTCAGAGCAGTCAGTTATTTAGACGGCAGGGGCTGGGTGGGAAGCAAGGTAATGTGGCCTAAACACCCTTCTTGCAACACACAGTTTGTTTCAGTTACTTCTCTTTCCCTTTAAGCCAGTGGTTCTCAGCTGCAGTAAATGAGAAAACTAAGGATTGTATTTTTTTTCCCCAGAACTAAATTTACTCAAAATTTCTATTTGAGTCATATTCTTATACTTTTTTTTTTTTCAGATTTTTTTTCTTAATTTTTAAATAATCTCTACACCCAGCATGGGGCTCAAACTCACGACCCCGAGATCAAGAGTCACACACTGACTGACTTGAGTCAGCCAGGCACCCCATGTTCTTGTACTTTTTAGTGTGAAAATAGCCTTTCTAAAATGGTGATCATACTTAGGTGGCAAAATGAAAAGGTAGCCATCTTGTATTTTTGTCCCATCAGATTTTTAAGAAACTGTGTTGGGTGGTAAAATGCACAATGTCCAAGTGACTGCAGTTTGAAGAAGAGCATTTTATACCAGTGACAAATAGGTTAGTGCTCTGTGCACGGAGCTCGTTCTTATAGGAGAACTGATGGATTTGCCTCATTTGTTCCTTTGTTGAGTAAACGGTTGTGTGACCGCCACATGGCAGACATTGAAACTGTGATGAGTGCAGCAAACCCAGTCTCGTAGGAGAGGCCACGTGAGGCAGACATCACCCAAGCAAACATCTGCAGTCATGGTGGTCATGAGTGGGGGACTCGGGGTACAGCACGCAGGCGGTGTCTCCGTGGGACGCCCGTGGCTGACACGGTGATTTTCAGGATGAGTAGGAGCAGAACGAGCACGCTGGGTGCCGTGTGTGCCGGGGGGGGGGGGGCGCGGGGGGGGAGGGCAGCAGTGGCACTTGCCCCTCCTTCACTTCGGGAGCCCGTCTTCTGATGGGTACCAGGCTCCTTCCCTGGGCGCCTGGTGAGACGTGCCAGTCGGGCCAGTGGGACACAACTGTGTCAGGACCCCTCTGATCCTTTCCAGCAAAGAAATAACTGGAATTGTTCTAAGCAGGGGGAGCCTATCTCTGGAGAGTCAAGATGCTTTACTCAGAAGAGTTGACAGCAGGGTTGCACAGTACCTTCAGTAAAGTAAAAACAAGTGGCCGGGGCGCCTGAGGGCTCAGTCGGTGACGCGTCTGCCTTCAGCTCACATCATGATCTCAGGGTCCTGGGATCAAGACCTAAAACTGTAGATCTTTAAATAATGTTTCTCATCAGACCAACACAAAAGATGAAGTTTCTCAGAAAATTGGGCATTTAAAGATGAAATTTTGAGGGTTGCCCCCGGTGGTCATTTGGTTGAGTGTCTGCCTTCGGCTCAGGTCATGATCCCAGGCTCCTGGGATCGAGCCCCGCATCGGGCTCCCTGCTCAGTCTGCTTCTCCCTCTACCTCTGCCTTCCACTACCCCTGTTTGTGCTCTCTCTCTGTCAAATAAATAAAATCTTAAAAAAAAAATATTTAAAAAACAAAAATTTTGAGAGAGGGATGAATGAGGAACAGGTAGGGAAGATAAATTCTGACAAAGTGGTCATTCTTTCACGTATTTCTATCCAGGAACTGGACCTCCCGATTCTGAAAGTAGCTGCCACGGAGATTGTGTCCGGAGTATCTGGGGAGTCTGAGCAGAAGCTGAGGGAGCTGTTTGAGCAGGCCGTGGTGAGTCCAACCCACATCGGGTCGTCAGGTCACCCATGGTTATGACAGAGAGCTCGTGATGGCTAAATACTTAAAGTAGATGCACGGTACAGACTGTTGGCCATACTGATCTGTTGAATCTGCAATCAGGCAGAACTGTAATTGGCAAGGAGTTCGGGCTGTCATAGCCACTGGTTATGTGTTGAAAATAGATTATCCTGGTGGTATTTCCTTTCACTTTTACTTTCCCCAAATTAAGTTTAGCAAATGACTTGTAAGTGGTGTGAAAATTGTTCATCTTTAGGATTATCGCATTATAAAAGCAGCCATAGAAATGCCAGGATAAACTCTTCTCGGTTTGCCTAATTGAACCAGTGAAAAGAAAATCCTGTTACCAGAGAAATTACAGATCCGATTTTATCCTAACTGTAATTCCTGTTGTTAAAACGCGGGTGACAGCAGATGCTCAGTAAACACAGGGTCTGCCCCTCTCTACCAGTCCCTGTTACTTGATGAAACAGAGCACGCTTGGGTGTGGGTCAGAGAACAAACGGTCCAAGCGGATCACGTGGTTGTTTGTTGAGAACTGTAGGCTTTCCTCTGGCTGAATTCTGATGACCATCACTTACTTTCTTACTCTTTTTCTCACTGAGTTTTTCCGGTCCTGGGTAGATACTGTTGTGCTCGCCCCCGTCTCCTTTGCTGTCTGTGACATACCTGGGTGCTGTCTGGAGCAGTCCTCGCTGCTTCCGTGCCCGAGTCATCACCAGGAGGATTGGGAAGCGAGCCGGCTAGTGGCGGGCCAGATCTTCCCTATAAATTGCCATGGTCCCCGTGGTGTTGAGACGCCTTAGCCGGGTTGAGAGTCTGACCCTTAGCTTGATCAGTGTCACTGAAGAACTAGGAATGAGCATGCTGGTGATTGCATCTCTCAATATTTTATTTAAATTTTTCATGTTAACTGATCCTCCTCTCTTTTTGTTTGTTTTTATTGTGGTAAAATATGTTAAACTTGCCACTTTAAGAGTACAGTTCTGTGATTGTAGTAAGACGCTCATGCGTTGTGTGACCGTCACCCCCAGCATCTCCCCAGCCTGAATGCATGCTCTCGGGCCACCGACCTGCGCTTTCCCTCCCCAGCCCCTGGCCACCGTGGCGGCTCTGCTCCCGGTAGTTAGTGCTTCTGTCTAAACCTCCTGTCTCCACTCTGTCCAGTCTGCGCCTTGAAGAACATGCACGGGGAAGGTGCTCATCGTCCACACGGCAGTACCGGGGACTCCCCTCCCTCCCTTCCTCATTGCGGTCCTCATGGCCGCTGCTGGTTCTCTGGCTGAGTGTGTGCTCACTCACTGGTTGTACCTCGTAGCATCGAGGAGATGGCTCGTTGACGAACGAATTTCAGTGACTTGCTCACCGCAAAGCACGGGTGGATGAGAGGGCTCGACGTGTGGCAGCCTGTGTGCAGTCTCTCACCGTCCTCTGTGCAGCATCTTAAGTCCGATGAAAGCAGAAGTGATAACGCCGGGAACTGCCTTCTTGAGCGCTGCTCGTTTGCTGAACGACCCGCAGACTCCAGGATTCTTTAAAACATACAGACTAAACTATGCTGCAGTGTGGGGAATGTCTTTATCATTGTCTTCTGTGATATTTTTATTTCCAGTCAAATGCACCCTGTGTCCTTTTTATTGATGAAATTGACGCTATTACCCCCAAGAGAGAAGTTGCTTCAAAAGACATGGAACGAAGAATTGTAGCCCAGCTCCTCACCTGCATGGATGGTCAGTTTAAAATAATTCATTTTCAGATAATAAATTGTGGGGTTTTTTAATAGTGTAAGTAATATGAGACGTTTGGGTAGAATAACACTGAGAGTAAAAAATCCTTTTCCTAAAGGATTGTCTCGTTAATTTTTTGGAGTATATCTTATGGTTATTTTAATGCGTTTATACACACACGTAAGCACTAACATTGTTTTGCTTCTTACAATACTGCGATTGCACCATTCACATCATTCTGTGACTTGCTTTGTGTATCTTAAAGTTCCTTCTTGGAAATGTGGCTGTTTTAATGCATTTAAATTTACCTTTTAACTGCTGTGTGGTATTCTTTTTTTTCTTTTTTAATTAACATATATGTTATTTGTTTCAGAGGTACAGGTCTGTGATTCAACAGTCTTGCACAATTCACAGCACTCACCCTCCCCAATGTCCACCATCCGGCCGCCCCATCCCTCCCAACCCCCCTTCACTCCAGCAACCCTCAGTTTGTTTCCTGAGATTAAGAGTCTCTTATGGTTTGTCTCCCTCTCCGGTTTCGTCTTGCTTTATTTTTTCCTCCCTTCCCCTATGATCCTCTATCTTCTTTCTCAAATTCCTCGTGTGCTGCATGGTATTCTTTAGGACAGATTTATTATATTGCATATAAGCATTCCCATTTTGATGAATGTTTAAGTTGTTTTGTTTTTTGCTTTACAAGAAGCTGTAGGGAATCTCCTAAGTGGGCCTGTTTGGTGCATACATATTTTTCTAGGATAAATGCTAAAAATTAAGGTGATGGTTAAAGGTTATGCACTTTAAATTTTGTGGGAAATAGCAAACTGCCTTCGGAAGGGTTTGCAGTGTGCACTTCCCCATCCTCTGAGACGCCCTGTGTCCAGGTCCCTCCACGACCCCAACTGTCACTGTGTTCTCATGGTTGACAGGCTGGTGGTGATGATGGAGATCTCACCTTGTTGTTCTTTGCATTTCCCTGTTTTCACTGGAGGTTGATCATCTTTCCATATTTCTTGACTATGTGTATCACCCCAAATCCCTTTCTCAGCCTGTGCTGTGTTACTGAATTTTTTAAAATTGGTTTGAAGGAATATTTTAGTTTGTTACGGAAGCAGATTCCTTGTTAAATGTATCACATTTATTTCTTCCCAGTCTGTAATTTTATTTTTCAGTTTTGTTCATTTGTTTTTAGATAGAAATTTGGAGGGAAGGTAGATACACTTTTGGAACTAGATCCTGCCTCTGGTGAAATACCGTGGGGTTTCCGTACACAAGTAATTTGAAGTAGTACAGGTTTTGGGCTCCTTGTGGTGCTTGTTCTTTTATTTTTCCATAAAGTTTTCTTGCCATGCTTTGAGGCCCTTGTTCTGAAGCTACAGTGTTACCCGTTACAAGATTACGTGGTTCTCTAAGGAGAGAGACACCAGCAGTCATACTGAGACACAATGCTTATCTCATGATGATGGAAGCATTCTGATGTCAGAGATTTTACAGTGTGGAAGAAAGGAATAAGTACAGGGACTGGGCAGATTACCCATTACTAGAGCTTTCCTGAAAGTTGGGGTTAGTTGGGGTTTCCGGTGTGTGTGTGTGTGTGTGTGTGTGTGTGTGTGTTTTAGGGTCCCCTCTGCGAACACAATAGAGAAAACAGTCCAACAGTTCAGCGCACACAGTCATGCCCCAAGTAGTCTGTCCCAGGTGGTGGTTTTTCCCCTCCAGTTTGAGAATTTTTTTTAAAATATTAATTTAGAGTTTAACAAATTTGAATTTTAATAATTTAAAACTTTTAAGTAAATTATTTTGAACAAAGTAATGAGGCCACTGAAGAGAACTAATTTTACCTAATTTCAGAAACGTAAACTCAGGCATAACTCTAATTATCTAAAGAGCTGGAAAACATCTTAAAATATTATCTTGTCCATGGGCGCCTGGGTGGCTCAGATGGTTAAGCATCTGCCTTTGGCTCAGGTCATGATCCCAGGCTCCTGGGATCGAGTCCTGCATCAGGCTCCCTGCTCAGTGGGGAAGCCTGCTTCTCCCTTTGCTTCAATCTCTCTCTCTCTCTCTCTCTCTCTCTGTCTCTCATGAATAAATAAATAAAATCTTTAAAAAAAAATATTATCTTGTCCATGAGGAAAGCGATGCATAGCGAGCCAGGACCTGATGTATACAGTGGATCATTGGCAAAGCCTGGGCTAGGCTCCAGATGTCTACACACACATAGACGGCTGATGGGCTACCTGCAAATGCATGCTTGGTTTAGGAGACCTGGTGCCCCACAAACAGGTTTTACTCTGTGTAGAAAGATGACTTTGCTTCTTCTATAATATTCCAGAATTCAAATTTGTGGCTAATGTAACGTCAGTTTAACATGATCACATCATACTGGGGAAGAGGGAGAAGAGGAATGGGATTTATCTTGAAGTTACTGGCAGGAGAGACCAGCCAGTCCTAGGTGAGGTCTGATTTTTTATCTTTCATGCGTCAGGAAAAAACAGCATTTGACGTTAGCGCTTCCGTTGCTGATTGTTGATTTCCTATGGAAGGGTATTTTTCATGCCTGAAGATTTCACAGTTTTCCATGACTGTTCTCATTGAATTCTGTTACTGAGCCCTGATAAGCTCAGAGCAAGTTCACCGAGACCACAGTGTCTGAGTGACCCGACCTGGAAGAAGGAAGCGCCCTTGGTCGTTTGTTGTAGCTGTGCGTATGAGACCCACGTGAACCAGCCAGGGAGCAGCTCTGGCTCCGTCCCAGCCTCAGTGCAGGGGCGCTCGGCGTAGCCAGAACATCCTCATGGGAAGCACGTGTGCGGCTCATGATTATAAGGTGCCACCTCATTTCCTTAAAGTGTTCTTGTTCAGTGGCTTCTTGTATCATGAATCTCTTCCTTGAGCTTTTATGCAGTTTTCAGAAAGTATTTAAGAGCCTTCCTGTCTCGCTCAAACCAAAATTTATCAAAGGAGTAGTCACTGTCAGCTAAGTGCAGGCTTGTGTTTCCAGTCTACACCACACCCCGTCACTACTTGTCTGTCCCCGACATTTTACTGAGGCTAATCCTGTGACAGTCGCGGGGGAACCTCTCTTGGCCGCATCCGGTGGCTTTCAGCGCTCATCTGCCCGAACCTCTGTTCTTTAGTTTCCTCCTCTCTAAACCTACCTGTTACAGGGGTGGCGGGGGTTGGCCAAGGTTGGCCTAGCGCCTTGCATGCAGCGAGCCACTGGTGAGCGTCAGCACGGTGGTTCTCGAGAGCCTTCGTGCCCGTCGACCACCTCATCCTGGGCGTTCTCTCTTTGGCATGCATTGCTTGAGCGCTGTCTTTGTGTCCTTGCCCTGGCTCTCCGGCAGCTCCTAGCCGTTCCCCTGTGCCTGAGACAGAGGCAGCCTGAGGGGCTTCCCACTTGGCCTTCTCGTCTTGCCTTCTGCCTGATGAGCAGCTCTTTAGGAGACACGAATGCATCTGTAACCTCGATTTCTGATCAGTGTCACACTCCTCTTCACGGCTGCCCGCTGGGTACCCCATGCTCTGTGTGCCCGGGCCAGACCCACTTCCCCTTTCTGTCCCTCTATCCTCCCTCCCATTTGCGTGCTCTCTCCACAGCATCACCTCCCTCCTTGTCCAGACCTGAGTGCTCTTGGTCTCTCCCCTCCCCTCGCCCTTCACACCCTCCTCGGGGAATGACTTAGTGCCTTGGGCTGCATCTGAAGTCTCGCCCTGCTGCTGGGCCTCTCCTGCTTCTTCCCCGCGTTCCTGCCTTATTGTGTCCTCTGTCCCCTGATGGCTGCCGCCAAATCACACTGAGCTCTGCTCCGCTCTGTTCCTCTCTACTCTTAGAATTGTCTTTCCAACACACACATCTTCTGGGAAAAACCTTTCCTGGCTTCCTGTGGGCTAAGGAATATTCTACAGATTCCTTGTGACCCAGCCATTAAGGTACTGAATTAGCATTCTCCTACCTTGTTACTGTTACCTGTGGGGAGTGTGACCTCAGACCTCAGTTCAGACCTCTGCTGGCCCCCCTGGCTCAGTGGAGAGAAGTAAGACTCCGGTAGGAGACCTGCTGGGCCCTGCATTCTGCCATTCCTAAAACTGTCTCTAGATGACACCAGAGCAATGGGAGACTGTATGCGCACACCTCCCCCACCTCCATGTCCATGCCCCTTGGCTCTTTGGAGACCTGCACTGCACGTTCTCTCCCAGACTCCCCGCTGCTGGGCGGCCCCCCTCTCTGAGCCCGCCACACGTGTGTGTGCCTCTGCTGTCCCTCCCGGCCTCTGTTAATGCGCAGCCTCGTTAACCTGGACCTGCTTATGAATATCCTCCTCCTCCTTCAAGGCTTTCCCTGAATGTGCCCGTGAATCCATGCTGTCTTCCGTTGTCTCACTACGACGCTCTATTTATACCCGTCGCCATGCGTCACAAGATTTGTTTGGTGGGTTTTTCAATAGACTGCAAGCTGCTTGAGGACAAAGTGTGTGTGTATCCTCCTCGCGTCTTTCATGTAACGGACGATTAGTAAATGTTAGGTTTCTATGTGTATTGCCGTCCAAACGTGTACTAGTCTGTAACCACTCACAGGACTTACGTAAGCACCGTTGTCTGCCATCCCGGTGTCTTGGTCACCGCTCACCCGTGTCTGCTTCTTACCAGATCTGAATACCATGGCGACGATGGCCCGGGTCCTCGTCATTGGAGCCACCAACCGACCGGACGCCTTAGACCCTGCTTTGAGGCGTGCAGGAAGGTTCGACCGAGAGATATGCCTCGGGATCCCAGACGAAGCCTCCAGGGAAAGGTACGCTCTCGAAAGATGAAGTTTGTGCGTTGCTATGTCGTCTGAACTGAATGGTTTGGAAACGAGGGCTGAGAAGTATCACGTAGTTTCTCTCTTTGTTCTCGTACCAGTAACGTTGTTTTGGAACCCACGGCTGGTGTCACTCAGTCGGCTGATCAGCTGAGGGATAGCGTGGGGAGCCGTGGAGCCGAGCCGTGCTCGCTGGCCCACATGGAGGTTACATCGAACTTTCACCTGTTGTGTTAACCTGCTTAAGACACAGGTTTCGCGAGAAAAGGCAGCCAGAGAGCTGAAAGCTGTGTGTGTTCGTTGCAGGACCAGCCTGTCCTAGTAGGTGGGGTCGAGTGTCCGTAGAGCAAAGAAAGCTCCACCAGTATGTCAGTAAGCAAAGCCCACACGGGAGGCTCTGGGGAGGCCGAGGAGTGGAAATCTAGCAGAGAGGTCTGCTGGCCCACCCTGGCTCGGTGGATACGTGGTGGCTTTTGGCTCAGGGTTAGTGACACCACTCTCAGCATCTATGGTCCCCAGCAGCTTTCAGGAAGAGTGGTGTGTAGTGCGAGGAGACAGTCATGGGCTGGCGAGGGAGCTGCAGCGGGGGGAGGCTCGGGGGATGCGGGATGGAGAAGTGCTCATTAGGCACGTGGGTGGGAGAGGCGGTGGGGAGAAGGCATGATCCTTCCTCCTTCCCAGCGCATAAGTCTTTCAGCTTTGGATTGTCGGCCAGTGTCTTCCTCCGCTGCCGCAGCCACAGTCGAGCATGTGCTGATCGTGCTCCCACATGTGTGGTCCTGCACAGTCACTCAGCCTTTCAGGTTCGTCCACTCATGTTTGTTTTTAAACTTTTTTTTTTTTCATTTGAGACACAGAGACACAGAGAGAGAGAGGAAGCATGAGCAGGGGGAGAGGCAGAGGGAGAGGGAGAAGCAGGCTCCTCGCTGAGCCAGGACCCCGACGTGGGGCCCGATCCCAGGACTCCGGGATCATGACCTGAGCCGAAGGGAGACGTCCAACCATCTGAGCCACCCAGGCGCCCCCGTCCACTCATGTTTAAACCTGCAGCACAGTGATACTTAACATTTCCGTGGTTCGTATTTATTCAGCAAAATGTGTTGAGCATATGGCATGTGCACACACCACTGTGGACAGCGATAATGACGAACGCAGAGAAGTAGGAGTCCTTGCTTTCAGGACCCATACGGTCCAGTAAGAGTTCTGGAAGTTAGGCCTGTGTTCTTCCTCAAGCCTTTGTTTCATCCAGAGCCCAAACGACATAGAGACAGAGACAGCAGGGCCCATCTTTGCTGCTGGATAAAATCCTCTGTTCATCTGCCTGGTGTCCATCACCGACAGTCCTTAAGGGCTTTTGTTGATGGTCGTATTTTGAAAAATTTGAAGCCTACAGAAAAGTTAAAAGAGTAGTGTGATTAGTGTCTGTAAGCCCTTCGGCTGGATTTACCTTTGCTAGCGCTGTCCACACTTACCTTCCATGCTTGTCTTCAGCCTCTGGAGAAAACTGTTTGTGTGCGTGTGTACCTTTTTATTTGCCAAGCCATTTGAAGGATGGTTGAAGACATGATGACACTTTAGCCGTAAGTCCTTCTCCAATGTGAGTGTCATTCCGTGTCACGCCATTTCACCCCATTCCAGAAAATTTAATACTGACACAATAATAATACCTCAACGTACAGTCTGTTCTGATTTTCCAGTTGCCCCCAGGATGTCCCTGTGTAGTTTGTCTAGTTTCATCTAGAATGCACTCTGGGATCGAACCTGGCTGAGTCCACGTGACCCTGTAACCTCAGCCTGCCTTCTTGGGGAGGAAGCACTTTCGTGACGGTGGTGTTTTCCAGGTGCTGTGAAATTTGAACACTCCTGATTGGTGCCTCCTGATGATAGTCAGGTTAGATGCTTTGGCAAGAATACGGCCTGGGCGGTGAGCTGTCCTCAGCATCATGTCGGGAGGCTCATGGTGTCACTTTGTGGTCACGTTAAGTCCAGTCACTCAGTTAGGAAGTTTGTCAGCGTTTCCTCCTCTAAAGTTGCCTTTTTCTTGTCCACTTAATGACTGGAATCGAGACATTTCTGATATCTACAGGTACTATGACTGCCGTTGTCACTTTGTCCAAAGTCCACTGTAGACTTGGAGTCAGTGCTGTGGTGTTTCATGCAGGCCGGGTGCTCTGCACAGGACTTGTATCAGAGACTGGAGGGTGAGAGCATCTCCTGTGCTTAAGGCCTGGCTGGGGAGAGCGGGGTTCAAATCCTGAAGGAGGGTAGCTCTTGAATAGAATTACGAGTGAGAATCTTTTAAGGAAGTGTATTTAAAAATACCACTTTTATTCTGATAAAAAACACATAAAATTTACCATCTTAACTATTTTTAACAGCACGGTTTAGTAATATTAACTTTATTCACTTTGCAGCAAGTTTCTAGAACTTTTATTTTTTTTAAAGATTTTATTTATTTGTTTGACAGAGAGAGAGAGAGCGAGAGAGGGAACACAAGCAGGGGGAGTGGGAGAGGGAGAAGCAGGCTTCCCGCGGAGCAGGGAGCCCAATGTGGGACTCGATCCCAGGACCCTGGGATCATGACCTGAGCCGAAGGCAGACGCTTAACGACTGAGCCACCCAGGTGTCCCTCTAGAACTTTTCATCTTGCACTTTCATCTTTCAGCATTAACATTCAGTATCATATACCCATTATCCCTCCTAAGAAAGAGTATTTCCTTTTTTTTCTAAGATTTCATAATGCTATTATTTAAAGACTTACTTACTTATTTATTTATTGGAAAGAGAGAGACCACGACCCTGAGATCATGACCTGAGCTGAAATCAAGTCAGACGCTCACCTGACTGACTACCCAGGCATTCCTAAGGTTTTATGATTTTTAAGCAATTTCGACACCCATCGTGGGACTCGAACTCACAACCCTGAGATCAAGAGTCGCATGCTCCACAGACTTAGCTAGCCAGGCGCCCCAAGAAAGAGTATTTCTGATTGAGTCTTTGATAAAGGCAGAATGCAGTTTTCTTATTTTTATATTTGTGTCTAGTTCTGAATGCAAAAGCAAGGTAGTTATATTATTGTGTGCAGGTGCTAATGTGTTAAATTCTAAGAGGATAATATATAAATAGAATTGAAGTATGTCAGTGTATCTGTAGTTCTTAGAAGGTTATTCGTTAATTGAGGAAATATTTAAGCACCTTTTGTGTACTAAGGGAGGCAGAGTGGCTGGCGTTTCAGTCACTAGTGTGAGTGATTAGGAGAACAGTGAGTATAAAAAGGAAAAAACAGGGTCTGAGGGAGGATGTATCAGGCAAAGCATACCTGGTCTGAGGGTTTTTAAAGGCTTCTCCGAGTAAGCTGAGACTTTAAGAATAAGAGCGATGAGCAGATCACGTGATGATGAGAGTATTTCGGGTAGGACTAGCATGTGCAAAGTGCAGGGAACGCAGAAGGCACTAGAAGGCACTTCATAGACCCTTGGTAAGGATTTTGGACTTCTCTGTGAGTGGTGGAAAAGGATTAAAGCAGTTAAATTAAGTAGGACAGTGATGGGAACATTTTTTATTTTGAAAAGATCACGATAGCTACAGCGCGAAGAATGAATGAAAAGACCAAGACTGGGTTCTGGTGGCCCAGGGAGGGGCCTGTTGTAACATCTAGATGAGGTGGTGCTGGGCTTAAGGAGGTGGGGGTATAGGTGGAGATAACTGGAGCTTGGATAGGGCCCAGCTGGGGGGTGCCTGGTGGGGGAGCATGGAGAGGGCACAGCTGGGGGGGTGCCTGGTGGGGGGAGCGTGGAGAGGGCAC